TCGTTAGTTTCATTAGAATGCAACGGTGAAGCCAAAAAAAAAAAAAGAGTTAGTTGGGGTTGAAATTGAAATTTTAACTTTTCAATGGAGTCGAAATATAATTTTATCTTTGTGTTTTGATTTATAATTTTACAATTTTTATGAGGATTACATTATATTTTTATCATATTAAGAGATCAAACTATAATTTTATCATGTGTTAACCTATACTTTTATATTTTTCTATGGATTTAAACATAATTCCATCAAATAATGGGAATTAGGTGATCAAATTTAATTTGATTTTAAAATTTTATGTTATTCGAATTAAGTTGTTCGAGTTAATCAAGTTAACTCCAACCAATCGTTTTGATTTCAAATTTAAGTTATGTTTGAATTTTAAAAGTCTGAACAACTAAAAACGGAGTATTAAAACTATGTTGTTTTGGATTTTAATTCTAATTAAATACTTTGATTGTTTTGTCATTTGTTCTTTGATTTTATTGTTTCTTCATTTCATATTTTGTTTTAAGTCTATTTTTAATTAAACTTGAATCACGTGCTCCTCAACTACGGTGTATAACTTCAACTCCTTTTTTTTACAACAAATTTCTCTTTTCAATTTAATCTATCGATTTTATATTTTAGTTAGTTTGGTCCTCCAACTACCGTTATTTGCATCAATTCCTTGAATCTTTTTATACTCACATTGATATTTTATCCTAAAACATACTTTAAAAATAACATTATAAATATACTAACATATGATATTTGATTTATTAAATAACATTACATATCTTACTTATACATGTAAAAATATATGAATAAATATATGTATATAGTATTAGAGGGGCGGATGCACTTGGCCACTCGGCTTCCTAGGGGACTAAGTGCATATCCATTATTTTGGATAAATGATTAAATATAACTCAATATTGTAAGGGAAAAAGAAAAAAAAAATAAATAATTTGCATACCTATTTTATTGAAATTTGAAAAAAAAATAGGTATTAAAATTTTTGGACCTCCATTTTTTAAATTTCTGAATCCGTCACTGTCGTATAAGGGTAAGGAGAATTGTTTAAATTAAAATATATCATTACGATAGCATTATAAATAATTACAATTGAATTAAACAAAAACTTGAATAAATGTAACCTACTTAACTAAAAGAAATCAATAAAGTTGAATGATAAATAATATTTATCAACTCAGTTAATTTGATTATTTTCTGATTCGACTCGATTAAATATTCCTCGTTTAGATGTTGTAGTTAATATTTCGAGATGCAGTAAAATGTTTTAAGGTATAAATTGAGAAGGGAAAGGAGAAGATGGTGTGTGAAATCTAAAATATTTTGGTTGATCATTATCCAGCCCTAGCCTCGTTGGTGATCTATCCGACCGTATAATCGTCTGTCCATTAGTTTTGTACCATTAAATTATCAAGAATTTCAAACACTAAGAAACTAATGGGGAATCATTAAAAATAAACGATAAAAACTATTTTATAATAAGAAGAAAATAGTGAAATTTCAGCAATAATTAACATCTGTATGATAAAAGAAGAAGATAGAAAACACAATGATGAAGGAGATGAGGCCATTTTATGAAAGACGAGAAAAATTCCAACATCTATTGTGCAATACCTTTGTGGGTATTTGTCATGTTTCTTAAAACATCCGTACATGTAAAATTCACTGCCCAATCCCATGGTTTTCAGAACCGAATCGGTCAGCGAATCGACCGTGCTACCGGTTCATTGGTTCAACCGGTTGTACCAGTCAGTCGGAAGAATTGGACGACGTCATAATTAATTAATTATTTAAATAATTAAATAAAAATACCAAAACATTTAATAAAAAACAGTTTTTTTATACCAGAAGTCATATTCAAAGCAAGTCATAACATATATAAGTTAAAAACCATAAAATCAAGTGAAACAAAATGATTCAAATCAACTACAACATAATATTTAAGGTAAAACATATTAAATAATAAATATAATTATATAACTATAATAAAAAAAATAAATTTGGGGCTAAAATAATCAAAACAAACGATGCCGTTTGGTTTAATTTTTTTTTAAAAATCTCACATGGCTAAGAAACATAGAAGAGCATCACAAAAGTCTAAAGAGTAAAAATATGAAAACAAAACAATCCCACGTGGCTAAAAAACATAGAAGAACATCCCAACTGACTTCTATAAATAATAGAGGTAATTTGACATTCAAAATCATAGAGCATTTTGGTGAGTACAAAGCGAACTATTCTTTCGCTTCAATCGAGCTCGAATTTCAGGCTTCAATCGAGTTTCTAATTTTTTTTTGAGTTCGAGCCTTTTTGAGTTCAAGTTTCAATATTATATTTTGAGTTTGACTCGGCTCGTTTAACAAACGACGCTGTTTGATTTAATTTTTTTAAGAAAAAAAAACAAAATACCATTTTCAACTGGTTCACAGTCCGATACAGTTCGAATGATTCACAGCCGGTTTAACGATTCTTTCCGATTCACTAATAATAATTTAATCGATATAGAATGAATCGGATCAGTCAACAATTTTCGGTTGAACCGACCTATCCAATTTTCAAAACACTGCCCAATCCCATAATAAAGCCAGGCAAGTCTAGAATGCAACCTTTGATCCCAACACCATGGCCTTATGTTATTTGTTTGATTTTAGGGTCTAAAAGGCTACGAGTAGAGGAATGCCCCAGGAAAAAAGCTACCACGTGATCAAGTGATTAGACTGTTCGGCCAACTCCAAAACAAAACATGAACGATTCAGCAATCCAATATCATAAAAATACGGTAAATTTTGACTATGTCCCACTTAAATTATTTTTATTATTTATTTTAAAATTTGACTATTTATTATTAAGAAATTATTATTGGTAGAAATATAAAAATATATTTAAAAAATTAATTAAGTAATATTAAAATATATGTTTAATAAAATTTAATCTTTTAAAACATTTAAGATAATCATGGTTAAAAATTTTAACTTTTAAAAAGTTAATAAAGAATATTATTTTAGGACGGAGATAATTTGAAATTATCACTTTAGTTATGTCACAATTGTCATTTTTGAGATTACATTTCAACTTAAAATGAATTATATTTTTTTGGAGTTACAACTAATCTTTTGAATTAAGTAAGGTCGGATACAAATTTTATCTTTAACCAAATTTATGTCTTATAAGCGATTCACATGAAAGGGTTCAGAAGTTGATTACATGTGAGTAAGGATGAGTACTATCACATCACCCTTTTGGTATCAACACAGTTAAGAGTTGTCTTAATGAATAAAATTAAAGTTTGACCCGAAATTTAAAGGAAAAATTCAAATTATTTACCTTTGAGTTCTGTTACTATAAAATATAATAAATTAAGATTGTAAAAAAATAAATGATACAGGTCTAATGGGCCAAAGTGAAATAAAAATATTACAAGTACCAAAATAAAGAAATAATAAATAAAATACAATATGAATAAAATAAATAAATATGTAATTAAAAGAATAAATATAAATTATGATTTTAAAACATTTAAAAATTAAATACAAAAAATAAAAGTATAAAAAATAATAAAATGAAAAGTAAATATATAAATTAATAAATTAATGAAAATTAAAAATATATATATATATATATATATGAAGAAAAATAAATATGATAAATAATAATAACTAAAAAAGTGAAAGAATACATCTTAAATTAAATACGTATGAGATATAGATATATGATATAATAATAATAATATATATTTACATATTAATAATATAAAAATATATTATAGATACGTAAAAATTATATATAACTTAAGGGAAAAAAATTAGAAAAGACAAAGAAGTTGTCCACGCAGTGGCCAATCGCATTATTTGGCAAGGATGTGCAAGACCTGCAAATTGTGGACTCGTTGGATGATTCAAAGTTAGTTCGGGTGGTGCTCGTCGAATCGATCTTGGTATGGCTACATGTGATGGTGTCGTGCGATACTATTTTGCCAATTGGATCTAGGGTTTTGCAAGGCTATTGAGATATGTTCGGTTTTGGATACTCAACTTTAAGTGCGTTTGGTTCACGGAATATAAGATTATCAGCGAAAATAAAAAATTACCAGATAATAAGATTACTGGGAATGTTGTATTTTGTGTTTGGTTGGTTTAGCAGGAATGTAAGATTATTGTGTTTGGTTAAAGGAATAAAATATTATTAGAATGTATATTTGACCAAATTATCCTTATTATATATTTGTTTTTTTAACAAGTTGAAAAATATTTATATATTTTCTTTAAAAAATTTAAATTCATAAAATTTATATATATATTTTTTTACAAAATTGAAAATATAAAAAGGTTTAATGAAAGGGTAAAATTTTATTTTAACCACTGAACTTCATATAATATTTTAATTATATTTTTTTTTGTAAATCTAAAATAGTTTAAGGATAAATTTGTAATTTAACCTTCGTAGAATTTTTATTATTCAATGTCAGAATAAAAATATTTTTGAAATAATTTTTTAATGGTATTTTAGTCCAAAACACTGGTAATCCAACAATACATAAGGAAATGGAGGTAATGACATTCCCAGTAATATATCCCAAAAAATCCACTATTGGTAATGTAAGATTACCGAGAATGACATTCCCGAACAACCAAACGGGAGAATGTGAATTACATTCCCATGAGAATCTCACATTCTCCCAACTAAATACACCCAGGGAATTTTTGAGGCTCTCACTATTATTTGGAACCTGAGAATTAGATAATAGAGATTCAAAGTGTTTCTTCATTGATTCAAGACTTCATAAATCATGACTGGCAATTAAGCTTCTCTTTCAGCCCTCGTGAACATTGAAGTAATTATAATCAATTATTTTGAAGTAATTACAAAAAACAAAAGAATAAATGTAATATGATTAAAGAAAATCTAACTGGTAGATGTGCAAGAACATTGAAGCCATTGACATCACTATATCAGCAAAGTATTTCTTTAATTAATGTTCTTGATGATCATCAAGCATGTTTAGCCGAAGCTTTCTTGAAACGGGTTGGCATAGATCTAATCCAACTCTTGCCACCAATCATGTTCTTTGTCAAGAGAAGCTCTGCCTCATTATCCCTCAATTTCCCTGACCATTCAACCCTTTTCCCTGCATTGGCTCCAGGTCCATAACATTTATATTCTCGATAGAACACCGTGCTGTAGTATTAAAAAAACCCAGAAAACAGTTTGTTCAACCTCAGAACTCTACACTTAATAATGTAAGAAAATGAAGGGGTTGGTCTTTATCTGAAGTTTTGTTGTTATACCTTTGCTTGGACGAGTCTCCCCAGTCATCCCACCCTTGGGGAAGTATGGCATCAGACATATAAGTTAGGGCAAAAACCACCCTCGAATATGCACCCCATGGCCTTCCTAGTACTGCACTCTTTACGCCGGTTATCTTGCAACCCAAGAAAGTGAAGCCTGTGTTTTCCGATGGAGACTGCCTTCGTTGGGCTGTTATTGCTGCATCTCCTTCTGAGAGTGAATGCAAATGACACATCTGGAACAATAATGTTACCAAAATTCAGATGTAAGTAAGTTGATGGTTTAGCTTGATTGTCTAGCAAGTAACAGATTATGGTATATATATTAGTGAATTTATAATTACTTACCTCAAAAAGAGAAGCGGCATTCCCGAAAATGAAGTCAACAGCTCCTTCAATGTAACAGCTTTTGTAATAATGTCTTCCAGTATCATCTAGCAATGTATCCTGATAAGATGAAATTCTGCATCCGAAGAAAGCTGCCCTATCTCCTGATACCCTTAACGCAACTGCTTTAGCTCCGGGTCCAAATGTATTCTATTTATCAAAAAGTAAATAAAAATATTTTAAGTTCATCAAACTATTGAAAAATCAGCATATTCTATTAAAAATATGAGATACCTGAATTGTGAGGTATCGACCAACAAAATCTGAAGCCAACACAGTGAAGGTAGGTGATTCAAATATCTCCCCACTGTCATTCCAAGTTATTATGGTGCCATTTTCCTTGGAGCCACTTATGGTAATGAAGGGCTTGTCTGCAGGCACAACAATCTTTTCTTTATAGATGCCAGGCTTAACCCTTATGAAAACGAGTTCTTTGTTATCGGATGGCACTGCATTGATGGCGTCTTGTATCTTCTCGTAGTCTCCGTTCCCCGATTGGTCGACTGTTACGAGTATGGCGGCCGAAGTTACCGCTGCAGCATTTGCATAAGAACTTGCCAAAATGAACGTGAAGAAAGTGGATACAAATATGCAAACGTGGCTAGAATAAGCAGGAGCCATTGAAGATAAGATCAACGTGAAGCAGTGAATGAAGATATGAAGTATGCTAAGATCACTGGTTCTGATGCATAGATTTTGATGGATATTATTCTTTTATACATATGATCAGGGGTCGTTCTCTTGCCATGGAAGTGTCAGCTGTGACGTACACCGATTTTGAAGCAACCCTGTATGCGTTTTATTAGAAAAAGGCCAAGGGTTAGCCCACAATACAAGTTACCGGCGAGTAGAAATTTAGGGAGGAACTGGATGGACCATGGCCGCCATTTGATTTTCTTGCAGCTAGCTAGGATTGGTAGTTTCGGCTGCTTGAAATGAACGTTATAAATGTTAATTTGGTGAAAAAGTTGGATTCAGCTCACGATAATCGTATGCTGTATTGGTTTAGCTTGAAACCTACACTTAGCATGAAACGTACACTTGGCATGAAACTTTGTGGTTCAAGTTCCTTGTTATTGTCAATTTAAGATAAGTTGACCAGTTTCATGTATGCAATATTTGTTTTGATGGGCGAGTTGACCATGGCTCCATCGGTTTCTTTACCTTTAAGTTGGTGCCTGGTGGCTGCCCAAATGTCTGTTGTCATTTTACAGGCTTGGGCTTAGAGATGGTAAGGGGTTGGGTCGAGTCGGTTTGAATTTTTAGCTCACCTGAACGTCATCTAAAAATTGAAGTTCTCCACTTACACTCTCAACCCAAGTGTAAGAGGGCCCATCCGACCTGAAACCAGATCTGAAATTTTAGGTTAACTTTGAAACCGATTCAACTTGACGTGTATATATGTATATATATATAAGATAAAATAAAGAATTAATTGAAAAATAAAATATAAAGGGATATTGTTACGATTATCTTTAAATACGTAAAGAATAATTATAATATTATATTAGATAAAATCAAATCAAAATTTCAAAAAAAAAAAAAATTTTTAACTCAATCGATTCGAGTCAAAACTCATCTAGTACTTGCATAATGACCATCCCTACTTGGGCTAAGGTTATATTTTGCTACTTTTGGGACAGGAGATTTTAGGATCCAATTATGGTAGTAGAGAGATACGAAGAGGATTTCCCCCAACCGATGTGTATCCCTTATTTGTTGGGTAATCTTATTTTATGGAGCATAAAAGTCCAAACAAAACTTTGTTGAATTGTATGGAATTTCGGCTAAGCTTACTATGGCTTACCCATTTTGAATAAAGTAACAGCAGAATCCAAAATACTGGCTTTTGATGAATCTTGCCCGCAAATGCGCCTAAATTCATCGCAAAAGCTCCCTCGTTTCATAGAAAGTTGAGTGCAAAATACATCCAAATTCATGACACAAATCGTTGTTTGATGAATCTTGCATCGCAACTATGTCCAAATTCACGACACAAATCGTTGTTTGATGAATCTTACATCGCAACTAGGTTCAAATTCATTTATACAAAATAATAATACTCAAAAGTACTATTATTTTCGAATTCTAATAAAATTCATCATAACTTAAAATTTCAGACTGAATGATATCAATACTCATCCTACAATATCGATACTTCTCTTCTATGGTATTGATACTCACTTCAGTATATATACCATTTTTTGTATTCTGTAATTCATTTTTTAATTACAGTATCGATACCTTCTTCTTGACATCGATACCTCCACATCAGTATCTATACTGTTCACCGTGTTCATCCTCTTTCTTCCAATTTAACCTTGTTTTACTTATTTCCCTTCGATTTTTACCTAAATTTCACCTAAATCTCTTACTCTTATCTCCAACCCTACCATAAACTCATCATCACTTAACTCCTAAGGCTCCAAATATCTTATTTACATCTTTGACAAGTCAAAAATGCTTTTAAACTCCAATAACTGACCATATTTCATTAAATAACTTAAAAACTCATTTTATTAAATCACTAATAAATCACTAATCTCTTAGTTTTATTCACTCTTAAGTTTTCCTTAAGTTTCTATATCACTTAAGGCTTCAAAACCAACCCAACAAGGATGAGAAGAAGAAAAGTAGAGAATCAAAGTTTTCAGCTTTATCCTCTTTCTCCTATTCATCCCTTAATAAAAATCCCTAAAAGAATGAATATTAAATTCATTTCTTTCTAAAAGACCATAATGTCTCTTCCATTCTTAATAATAAGTCTTAAACACAATTTTCTAAATCAATCCTTGTACTTTTCAATTTATTTAAATTAATCTACTAAATTTTAAATCCTTTCACTATAGTCACTGACCCGATGTTTGGGGTATTACATACTGAGTGTTGGACTTGGTAAATGTTTCACTATGTTGGTTGTGTGTTTTATATAAAATAGAACCTGAATCAAATTGAAAGCATATGATATGAACTGCTGTGCTATTAAGGTGACTGCAGTAGGGATTGGACTCCATCATTGTTCTCTGTTATCTTTTAGTGACGAAGCTACCAAATTTACTGGTATATTTTGACAGTTTGCTTTACTAGACGTTCTTTAAATTTCTTGTTAGCTGCTAGTGATGAAACTGCAAATGCATGGCTAGAATAACATCAGGTCGGAGAAGATTCGAAAGTTCAGAAGTTATGGAACTTTGCTAATACCGGTGATTCTGTGTCAACAGTATAACAAAAATGTCAGTGTATGGGTAGGAAAACTGATGGATATCTTGTATTGTTATGGTTTAGTGGATGATATATAGTTATGCAACTTTACTAGTATATTTTGACAGTTGAACCTTGTATTTTGATAGCTATTATATTCCAGTAGGCCTTGGTTTACTGGCAAAAAATGTGTGGATTTCATATGAGAATCATTTTAAGTGCTGGATAGGTAATGACATGCTGCATGTATGTACCACACATAAGCACCTTGAAAGCTCATACAGTCGATGCATTTGGTGGTGACTTTGTGAGATCTGTAATTGACTAACCGCACATATTTATCGACGAATTTTTGTTCTTATGTCCAGGTCTGTCTTTTGGGCTATGTTTGGTGCAATATACTTATGTTTTGGTATGCCAGAAGTGTATGGTGTTCTTTTAAAAGTGTTTGGAATGGATCCAGAAGCCGAGGAGTGCCAGCCACGACTAAGGAGACAACAAGATGTGGATTATGTTCCTGTTGAATTCGAATTGAATAACCTCAGTTGGCAAGATGTTGCAACTTATAAGGCAAGCCTTGATTTTCTTATCCTTCATTTGTAGATAATTTATTATTTAAAATGGAAATCATTAGAGCGAAAACGAAAGAAAAGAAAGTAAATGGAGTAAAGGGATTATATATTACAGCAATGTTTCTATGTATGGGAGCCTGGGTAAGCATTTCATTCACATTTACGGTGCAAGGAACTTAACCTAAATTGTTTTTTTTTTTTGTTACAGCCACCTGAAGATGCTCTTTTTGCTCATCCAAGGCTATTCAGGGATTATGTTCCACCGGGTATGCACCGGTTTCAAGGGAATATATGGGATTATGACTGCAAACCTCAAGTTATGCAGACACTTTGGTATCCCTTGACAGTTAAGGATAGAATTCCCTAAATTACTGAAGCCAGGAACATTGAGCTCGGACTTGGGCTACAGATTATTCGACTGTTTATCTCATTCTTTAAGATCAAAGACATAATTTACTGATCTCTCTCCTGATTGATTCCTCGTGTTGTTTGTATAACTGCTTTGTTTTATGCATCCATCAAAATACAAGTTTGAACATCCTCGGTTTTGCTTTGAGTGGTTGGAATATGTCGGCCAAAAGATCCAGGTAATGGTTTTTGCAGTTTTTTCCAATGTTGGGCGCATGCTTCAGCCTGTATTACCTATCTATTATTTGACAAGACACTTTGAAGAAAATGAACGATATATGAGTACGATCTTTTTGGGTAACTAAGTCTGATACAAGTTTTTTTTTTTGGAATCCTTCAGGATCTTGTTATGGCCGAGAGGTTGCTGATGAAGCATCTAGATGCCCAGAGAAGATGGTTGCAAGAGAAGCATCGCAGTGTGCTTATAAACAAGTTCTGTGGGAGGTGTTTGCGGGAAAGGTATCTCCATCGATTTATCATCTACTCGGAGCAGGGAGCTGGTTTCAGTTTTAAAATCAAAGAAATTTACTTCTTTCGTTGAAATGAGTTTTTTCATATTCGTCCCTCCAATTTCTATGGGTAAACAACGTTACCAGTCATTAAAGGTTTTTTTTTCACCACTTAAGTTTTACAAAATGATCATTAACATTTTAATTTGTAACAAAATGATCATAAATCTATCACGAAAAATTGATTTGATATGTTTGGACACCGACTAAAGTGTCTTTGGGAGTTGAGTTAGACATTAACGTGACAATGTCATAACTTTTAAGAAATAGTTTTAGTTGTTAATATATTTGTAAAGATGGCCAATAAGAATGTTGTCGCCATAATATGTTGATTGATGAAAGGATTGAATTGATATGGTATCGAAATTTTGATTACTCAATTAGAATGTTTTGAAGATTTTGATACTAATTTAGAATATGGGTTAGTTTGAGTGTGTTCGCAACAATTGACCCAGCAAAAATATTTTAATATTTTCCTACAATCCAATAAGAACCTGCCATGTCATCGTATTCTCCCCTCACACCCCACATTTCCATGTCCAATACCAACCAAAAAGAAGAAAAAATCAGCTTCAAAACTCCACTCCGATATTTTCATTTCCCGAACACAAAGAAGTTAGGTCCCAGCTCAGCGCGCGAAAGCCTTCAGCTACCCTCCGTTTCTCTCCAAAACTAAAGGTCCCGAATCTAAGCTTAGCCGAATTTAATTCAAATAAATGGGCTGGCTTGGCTTGGCTTGGCTTGAATGAATGAATAATGCCCGACGCACCACCATCATCCCTCCAATTTTACTCCACCTCTTGTTATTTTGCTCCATCTTCGCTTCCCGCCCTCTGCTCGCCATCGACTGTTACGATAACCGTGAGATCGAAAAGATCTCCTTCCCTAATCGCCGAAAAGTGATGTCCAAATCTCGCGTTTATACCGACGTCAACGTCCTTCGTCCCAAGGA